ACACACACACACACACACACACACACACACACACAAACCCTGTCATGACTGTAGGCACAGGTTTGAAAGATAAAAAATAAAATCTCAGTTCAAAACATCCTAAAAGCATGAGATAAGCACCCTAGTTATTCAGTCAGTGGGGCTGCTAGAACTTACTTGAACTCAACAAGACTTAAACTCTCGTGAGGCCAGGGACTCTCCTATTTCTTGTGTATACCTCCTACCACTCCCCACACTTCAGTACCACCTAATTCAATGTTCTGCACACATTAAGTGTCAGTACAAGGCCATACCACTGCAGTCCTGAAGAGGCTGTAATTAAAACAAAGATAAGATTCTGAAAAATATTAACTTATACAACAATGAAAGAGTTGTCGGTGCTTAGGATAACCTCAGCGTCTACAACAAAAAGTGTTAAAGGTAAAGATGCCACAAAATACGGCAAGTATGAAGAGTAACTTCACTGGGAAGGGGACAGATGAACAAAATGAAATGGAAACAAGAGTGTTCGCTCTCAGTTTAGCTTACGCTCCCACAGAGAAGCAAGAAGCAAAATATCTAATTGTTTTACGTTATTTCTTTACTAATGGTGACCTGATCAGTCCATGTGACTTCCAATACCGGACACAAACCTTGTATTTTCAATTAATTACAGGCCACGGATGATCAGGACACGTCCCCAGGAGGGTACAAGAAAGTGACACTGTCAGGAGCTCATCTCCCCTCCCCTATGCCCATGAGCGTGGTAAATAACCTCATTTATGAAGAAGTGAGAGCCTGAAGACTGCCCCCAGGTTACCACCACCTTTTCGCCACGCTCGGCGGTACAGACTGACAGGACAGAACACCTCTCCAGTAAGAGGGGATGACGGGAAGCCGAGAGGATTTACCTGGCTCTTTTATCCTACGGTTAAACCTCCAGCCCTACGCAGCCCGTGGCAGCGACAAATCCACGCGAGCAGGCTCCAGTCACACACGAGAAGTCAGGGCAGGGGCGGCTAGCGGGGAGGTGGGGCGGCGGGGGCGGCGGGGGCAACTCCTCCCTCGGCTTCTTCTCTTCCTCCACCCACCACCGCGAGGCGGATGGCTTTTACTCCTCCCTCCTTTTCTCCCCCCACTTCCGGCCGATACCCACCCGGAAGCCGGGGCGGGTCAGGCCGGCGGAGGCGCGGGTCACGTGCAAGGAAACCGAGTACTGGAGCCGAGCGTCATCCGCCTCCTGCTGCCTCTGGTCCAACGCACACCCTCTGGCGGATGGAAATCTTCGTCTAGGGCGCTGCCGCGAACTCCCGCCCCTCCAGCCGCCCTTCACGCCCGTCACCAAAAACAAAACAAATGCATCCCTCCAAAGCCTGTGTCATCTGTGGTTTCCTAACGTCAAGGCAGTTAGTACCATAGAGCTCCCTGTAAATCACGTTCTACATAATCTTTCCCAGTATGAAATCAACGTGCTTGTTAGAACGTGTAGCCTACCTCCAGATGCCAATGCCAGAATTATGAACTTGTCCTCATTCCTCCATTGAAAAATTCATAACTCCTATTTTTTAATTCATGACTTTAAGTTAATAGTCTTTACGTGTTGGAGTCGAGGCAGTGGTCGCACCGCACACTAACTTCGCAATATCCATTGCAAGCTCTGAACCAATTCCCCATTTCGTCATTCATTCATTCATGCGTCCACCATCTTAAAAGCCTAGAGGATTTCGAAGATGCAAATACTAGATTATCTATCTCCATGAGTTTGGATAGAAATGAGATGCATAATATGTAGCAACATAATGCAGTAAATAAGTGGTACAGAAAGAAAAGAATTTGAGAGAAATGTTTTTATTCCTTTCCGTTCTGACATTTTTAAAGGAGCAAAATCCTAAGATATTTTAAATTATTAACAGTAAGAGGGAGAGGATCCATCTCATTAATTTTGAAGCTGGTCTTTTCGTATTTCCTTTAATTAAATATGTCACAAGATGTAGGGGAAAACATCACAGAATTTATATTTTCAACCACAACCATCTGAACTGTTCCCATACAAGTATCAAGTCTAATGTGGCAGAACTCACAAATAGTACCCAAAATACAAATGTTAACATTTGTAAAAGGCTTAGAAAAGTGGCATGCAGTAAGCATATTTAAGTGTTAAATAACTTCCATCCTACCTGTTGTCAAATTCCTATTAAGCCTTGACAGTCAACACTTACAATTACTCACAGATTTACACCTACCACACAAAGTATTTCAGAAAGAAATGTTCCTCAGCACTCTATACCCAACCACACGAATTAGCTTCTGGAATCCCTACGTTCCAGGATATTAAACTGTAGTTGTCGGTCAATGTGCACAACCTTATTAAGATACAAATTCAACCCCAAATTTAAAATCTTATTGCATCTCGTGAAATTTAGACAGTTTTTAAATGGGCTTCCAATTACCAGCAGGTTGGCTTTAACCACAATATTAACACTGTGTTAAGCTTTTCAAAGAAAGTAACTGTAAGGCAGAAACTGTAAGGCAAAAAGAAAGCCTTAATTTAAAAAATAAAGCCTTATCAGAAGACTATCAAATCTACTAGCTGTGTAGTTTCTATGTAGTCTATCATTATGACCTGCAAGATCCTCCACCATACACACCCTCAGTCACTTGAGTCTTTCCCTCACTAGAACATTGATCTCTACATGCATCACCCCTGCACCCCCTTTTCAATGCACAAACATATCAACACTTTCTTGGAAATACTGTATTAACTGAGCTTTCACATAGAATGTCTTCAAGAAGTAATCGGGTTTTCTGGTGTCGAGCACATTGCAGTTGCCCCTAAAATGCTTAAGTGGTATTAGTATCTCCATTAAAGCTAATAGTTGCAAAGTTATGAACTCGGTATCTGTGCCTCTACAACTTCCTCAGTACCTAGTTCTAAATAAATTTAATGAATTTAAAAGAACAGAACACATGCACTAATTGTTTAAGGAAATTAAGAATGCGATTTATGCCATTCACCGTAACTTATACTTTAGAGCAACCCAATAAATAACATCTAAAGAATTGGCAATGCTTCTCAAGTCACTTACTTACATTCATCAGACATAAAAGATTTTTTTCATAAGGACCTAATTTGACAACTTTCCCACTCTAGGTATTACTAAAACAGTCTCTAAGTGATGCATTATAGGGTGTTGACTGCATTTATGAGAGGATAAAACTTTGAATACTAAGAAAGCTGCAAGGTCAGATTATTGTAATGGCACAAAATAAACTACAGCTTCATTTATGGTTATTTTAGAAATAGTCATCAGGACAAGATTAACTACAAACTCGTTTTAAAAGTTTGTTCAAAGATGCCTACTACCATCACCAGAATTTATCACACAAAGCTGTATACATACATTGGCAAATGGACATTTTAAATGTTACATATATTTCTTTTTGCCTATTAGTTGACAATTATCATTTACCTGACAGAAGTGGTACAAATCATACTGAAAATTACCTCCAGTCCTTAGACATCCTGTCAAGTCAGTAATGAAAAAGTAATCTAATGAAAGGTTGAAACTCCCTTAGGCATGTTTATTTTGCTTAAGCACATGTCAATTACATGCTTTAATTTAAATACTTTAGTCCTATCTCAACATTCTAAATATGATATAAAGTGTTCATTTAAATTTTACCAAGAACTGGCACTACTGTTAACAGTTGACCCTTGAACACAGCAATTGGAGTACTGACCCATTCTGCAGTTGAAAGTGCACAAGTTAACTACTGACTCCCAAAAAACTTAATGGCCAGCTATTGACCAGAAAAAAGCCTTATGGATTACTGTTGACCAGAAAGAAGCCTTATGGATTAAGTCAATTAACACTTACTTTGTACATTATATTTATCATATACTGTATTATGATAGAGAAAATGTTTTTTCAAATTGTTGCAATCTCCAAAAATTTTTCCAATGCATTTATGGAAAAAAATCCACATATAAGTGGATCTTCATAGGTCAAACCCATGTTAAGGGTCAACTACAGTTTCTAATCTTGCAGCCTACTTATTTGGCAATGAAATTCAAATCATTTGGCCTACTCAGAACATGAAATTATTGGCTTTGGTACCTTTAATGAGAAAACAAGACATATTGCCATGAAAGCAGTCTTCTAGTATTTTGTGTAAAAACCTGCCAAATGCCTAATTATAAATCCTTATCTATACCAGGTAAATTTGGAGATTCCTAAAAGCCCCTTACCTGAGAGTATCAGGTGAATCTTATAAATCTGTAATTTAGCTAATACAGGTAGGTTTCACAGCTGAAATTCCATTTTCTGCTTTCTTGAGCAGTATCAACTACTACATACAGCTTTTTACAGCCATCAGCCAAGTAATGAAAACACATGGTGTAATATCATGTTTTCCCCAGTCTTACACATAAAATCCAGTTATCATACTGAATTCAGAATAATCCAAATCCAAAAGTTGGTATAATTACAGAACACCAACAGCAGAGGTTACTGATTGTAGGGAAAATAAACTGTATTTGACTAATTCTTTAGTAACATCATAAGCATTCCAAATAAATACACAGAAAAATCTAAAATTCTAGGATAAATGTGCCAAGGAAGCCAGGGAGCCAGCTAGTCTTCAGACATACTACAAGTTATTTTGATAAGACCATTCTTCCCTTGGGTTTGGTGACATTGCAATTTTTCTTGGCAGGAGGGAAAAGGCCTTAGTCATGCCAATTCCAAATACAAACATAATCGAGAGGTATAAAACAGTAGGCATAACCAAAATATGGATACCAATTTTTTAGCTCATAACTCATCAACTATTCGTGAATTATAATTTCAGCCTACTCTAAGGTCAGCTTCCAGGTGTAGCCAAGTTGTCTTTTTACACTACCTCATAGAGAACAGTATTTAAGAAGCTGTAGAGTGTTTTGACTCTAATATTAAAACAAAGGTTAAATAAATGAAAAGTGATCAACCTTGGTTTCATTTACAAAAGAGACAAACCTACAGTGAAGGTTTCAAATGTTTTATTTATTCAATCATGCCATATTTTAATAAGTACACAGTGCTTTTAGTTGCATCAATTATGAGTTGGTTTTGAAACAATTCAGTATTATACCAGCTGGGATGATTACTGATCTCTCCATTCCTTTGGGGTGACTCTGCCAACAGGGGACAGGTTCCATTCTATTCCAATTTGTGTTGCTGTCTGTAAGAATTAAAATGCTGTCAGTTATATATGTTTAAACCAGAGTCCACTCTCCCTTGGAGTTTATTTCTTAAAAGTGACAAAGGTATTCTGCTTTATAGGTTAAAAACACACAAAAACTCACCTGGGACATAGTGCCCTTCATGTAGGCCAAACCTAATTGCTGCGCTAATTCTCTATAGAGCAGTGCTAAGTCAGTAGAACTTCCTGATACGAAGGAAATGTTCTATATCTGTACTGTCCAAGAGAGTACCCACTAGCCACATATGGCTACTGAGCAATTGAAATGTGCCTACTTTGACTAAAGACTGAATTTTTAATTCTACTTAATTCAAATTTGTTTTGTACTACCTCCTCAAAACATTGCTTCACTCAACCACAACTACCTAAATACTGCCAAAGAGCACTTTTGTAATATCTCTTCTTCAAGGACCACTTCACCTCCACAAATGCCCAATCACACATTTGTTCAACATTTGTACTCTTCTAATTAAGTACACACACACTTATTTTAATATTGTATCTGATTTCAGGAATACCAAAAGAAGGAAAAAGGCCTATTAATAAAGTATCTTTGTTTATTAAAGCAAGTGTTGACTCATGTATTTTAAGATCAAATTATTTATTGTAACTTCAAGACTTCCACTTTTAACTAGTAAGTACAGTGACTGGTAAGTAAACTAAATTACTGAAAAAACTCACTTTACATCTCATCCATCAGAAATATTATATACTCAGCTCTTGAGGGCAGAATTTTAGAAGAAAAACTCACTAAGTGAAGGAAGGTGACCCAAGATGGTGAAAACACTGGAAACCATGTAACAAAAAATGACTGACAGAACTAAGGATGTTTAATTTGTCATGTCCAAGAGACATGGCAGCAACTTTCTGGTAGCTAGTAGTTGCTTCATGGAAATGGGATCAGAATTTGTGTTACAATGGAATGATGGGTAGAAAATGAAAGAGACAGATATTAACTCAACATAAGATCCTTTTAACAGCTACACAATACAAATGTCATGTAGTAAGTAACTTGTTACTGGGAATATTAAGAACAGATGATGGATGAATGCTGAGTGTTGAAGAAGAAATTCCTGTACTGGGGGGATGATTAAGTTAGAAAATCTCTAAAGTTCCTCCTAACTAGAAATGTATACTACTGTGTGAAAACATTTTGAATATGTGAGCTAAACAGGAAAAAAAAAACATCTAAAACAGAAATTATCAATCAACAGTACTTACATATGCCCATACAGCAATGCAGAAAGCAGCTCCGCTAGCTAGTACAGCATTACCATATTTGTCATGGAAATCAGGTGTCCGTTTCTGGTGGCTCTGCCTTGCCACTGTTCGGTGAATGCTTCGAACTTAAAGAAAAAGAAGAGAAAGGAATATAGGCGCATATCTATCGATTATCAGTAAAAGAGAACGTAATTGATATTACCCATCAGAAAAGGAAGTTAACTTTAGAGTTTTATGCAGTTCAATAAATGTTAAAGCATACTTATAGGTAAAATCAAAGTAGCACATTTTGACACGCATCAAAAGTAAGATGAATTGACAGACTGATATGTGATAATTGTAACAAATATAGCAAAATGTTAATTGTAGAATCTGTGTGGTGGGTATTCATCATACAATTTTTTCAAATTTTCTGTATGTCTGAAAGTTTTCACAATAAAATGCTGGGGGAAAAACAAAGAACAGGTGATGTCAGCAACGTTCACTGAAAACCAGTATTTGTATAACCTCTGGAAGTTGGCTCCTATTCATTAATTTGAATATTTATGACTTAAATTCTCATTCCAGGACTCAAAATGAACTGCAAAGTAAAGCACACTATATGTTTAGGACCTTAAAATTACAAAAAAAAGCTCCAAACCTAATCTTTGTTCTTTAAAACAATTACTAATGAATACAGATGGCACCAGGCTAAAATAAATGGAGTATATGGAAATGTGTAAGACACAGACCCTGTCCTCAGGTAACTTCCAGTCTAGAGTGTATTAGATATGTAGACATAAATCAATATATAGTACATACATGTATACATATATAATACATGATACATATACAAGGAAGCAGAATGTCAGCGAAGCACTTTGAATAGCAGAAAGAATTTGGTTATGTACATGTGGGAAAGGGAAATCTGAAAACAGGCAGAGACAAAAGTCCAGAGTACTAGAAATCCAATTACGTTTTGTTGAAGGATGAGGGGCACAGACAAGTAATAAGGGGTAGAACTAGAAGGGATCATGGAGGGTCACTTTTTTGGTAAAGGTAAAGGTAAAGGTTTTTGAACAGAATGACAGCACTATAACTTTGTTTTTTCTGTTATTTTAGTAGAGTTTTCAAACTGCCTCTAGGGGCACTTAGGAGGGCTTGGAAGAGCCAAGACTGAAAAATGTCTATTTCCAACTGTTTTTTCTTCCTCTGCAATCTAAGTAGCATGTCCTTACAGTTTTAGATCCTCAAAAGGTAGTTACATAGTGGAAAGCATATTAAAGATACAACAACATTACTTAAGAATACAATAGCTTTTACGTGATACGATAGGTTATTTCAGGATAGTTATCTGACCATCAACACTTTCTTCTCTTAAACGCCTTACACAATTTTTTTTCACCTTTAGTGACACTTGGGATGAGCAAATTTACAAACATTTCATAATATATTCATTCTGCTCTAGAGCAGTTAAAAAGCGAGTGTCCAAATTCCACACTGAAATAACCAAAAAAACCCTTTCCTGTTGCAAGGTCCTACCTACTCAAAGGGCAAAGAAATTACAATTACCAAACAATTCTACACCTCATGACCTCAACACACAGATCAGCCACATGGATTTCTTCAGACCTCTTCTCTATGACAAAAAATGGTTTAGTTACCACTTATTGGTAATCTCATATAACCCTCAACAATTCTATGAGGTAGGAATTTTCTAACCTTCTAACAAAGCAGGAAACTGAAGTTCTGTTAAATCGATGTTGCGATTAAACCATATGCCCAAAGTGAAAGAGATTAACAGACGTGGCTTTTGAGATATGGAAAACAAGTCAGGCACCTGTTTTTTGGTTACTCTCAAAGTGCTTTAAGTGTTTGGAACAATGCAGTAATAGAATACTTCCAATGACTCCGTAAACTGAAAATAAAAAGATGGCTAAATAAACTAAATAGTAATTTAGGTCACTTTCAATATACAACTCACGTTACTCAAGGTCATCTTCAGTGCAAATCAAGTATGGAAATGAATTTCCTCTCTCCAATCCAGTGTATTCTCAATACCTAATGCTGCTCTCAAAATTTTCCTGTATCTGCCTAACTTTTAATTAAAAATGACCATAATTGCTTTGGGGGCAGCTAACATTCATTTAGTAACCCACAAACATAAAAACTGACGGGCTATCACGTAGGTTCTCCCCCCCCTCCCCCCGCAATGAAACCGGGTGAAGAGCTAGATTTAGTTTCCTTGTGCTACCTTTACAGAAATTGGAGAGGTTCTTCTGTTTGGGAGTCAGTGTACCCCCAGAGCTAAAATTTATGAAATTACCTAAAGACATGAGAAGTATCCATCAAACGTCTCCTTCCCTGAAATCGTAGGTTATTGAACTTTGAAAAAGCAGGGCTAGACGATGACTCCGGTAACAAAGAGAGCTGGGAACTGAAACAGAAACACTAGGTAATTAAGCTAATGATAAGGACATCTTCTTAATTACTTGAGGCGAGGTGGAAGACTGAGCATTCAGAATTAGAAGGTCTGCACGTAGGTGGAGGGAAAGGGCACGAGGGACCACGAGGAAAAATGGATAAAAGGCGATTGGAAATCGTGTGCTCACAGTTTTGCTCACCTTGGAGACGATTTAGTGCGTTTTTGGCCAGGGAAAACATCGTGAAGGTGAAGACAGAACTGCGGCAACTACAGGTGCTGGTTTGCTGCAACTCCAAATCAAATACCCTTGCAAAGATCCCTGAAAAACAAAATGGCTTTCAGCTGAGCATTTAACGAGATTTAATGAATTCTCGCGAGACCTCTAAAAACCTGTAGAAATTGTAGTCCTCCTTGCCGCAAGGATATGAAGGCCTGTTGGGAAATGTAGTTTCATGCTTTATGAATGACGTGTGACGGTATTTACTGAAGAATGAGCGACCTGCCCGCCTTGAAGCCAGGTTTCGGGCTCTATAGAGAGCCGAGACATCGGTCTTATACTGCCATCAAAGGCACCAGTTGCAAGATGTATTTTCAGAGGCTTGAGCTTTTATCTGACTGCACATTAACAATTCATTCTATTCCTCCAAACTTCCTTCACTTTTCTGATTTTTGGCTCCTATAACTACATACTAATTGATTTAACTTTTAATTTTGAAAGGACTTTAAGTTTAGAGAAAAAGTATGAGCATATTAAAAATGATCAGCAATATGTAGACAAATATGATAAAGCAAATTTAACAAATTATTGTTTGTAAAATCTTGATTTATGGTGTTCAGAGTAAAATTCTTTAACTTCTGTATGTTTGGGTATTTTCGATATTTTCATAATAAAATATTGGGGTAGAACTGTACACCCATTACCAAGGTATATCACTTGGTACTATTTTAGCCACATGTCTCTCTCTCTCGCTCTCGCTCTATCTATCTATCTATACAAATATATATAGGGGATGTTTTTTTCTGAACCGTTAGAGAATAACTTACATACATCATGTGCTTTTTATCCATTAATATTTCAGGGTTCCTCTCCTAAGAGTAAAATATTCTGTTACATAACCACAGTTACAGTTAACAAATACAGAAATTTTAATATTGATACAATAGAGCTAATATTCCAATTTCACCACTTGTTACAATGTCTCTATCTAGAATTCAACACAGATCCCTGTATTGAATTTACTTGGCACGTATCTTTGGTCTCCTTTAAAAGTGAATCATTCCTTAGCCTTTCTTTAAATTTCATGGCATTAATTTTTTTCTCACTGCAAGTAAGCTCTATTCTTTCAATTTTACATGTGAATGAGGTGAGGTGCAGAATCCTTAAATTGTAAGAATATAGTAATTTATCCTCCATTTACCCCATGGTCCCAAGCACAGAAGCCGGTGAGAATTATGCCTGGGGCTTGCCTGGGCTTACCCCACCTTATCCCTAAACATCCCGACCCTCCCCCAAGGCAACAGGCCGAGCGGATCCGCCACAATAAAAGGCACCACGCTGCTGCCCTCTCTCTTATTGTCCCTCTGCTGCCCTCTCTCTTTCTTTGTCTCTGTCTCTCTGTCTCTCTGTCTCCCTGCTCTCTCTCTCTCTCTCTCTCTCTCTCTCTCCCCACACCCCTCTGGGGCAACCACTCTCTCTTCCAGATAATAAACTCTCTTGCCTGGGCCCGTGTCTCCTGAGTCATTCTGGGTAAGGAGGGTTCCAGCGAGATACCATTTCATTGGTGCCGTGACTTCGGATAAGGCTCTCCCATTGACTTTGCTCTTCCTGTGGGAACCTGAGCTGCTTTGGGAACCCTCACTGCCCAATCCTCCTCCACAGGCTCACCGTCCACTTCCCCGGTCGCTCGTCTTCTCACCCAACACCGGCCTTCAATTTGGTGAGTCTCCCGTTCATGGTCGACTTAAATGTCCCTTTGGGAGCTGGGAAGTGACCATTGACTGTACAGCACCCCCAAGGGCTCCTCTGGGACAGGGGCACCCCCAACCACGACTTTCAGTGTCATGGTTGATCCCCATAGTCGACCCTTCTCTGCCTCCCTATGGTGAGAATTCTCATCCACTGAGACCTGGTCTCCCCTTATCTACGTTTCTACTCTACTCGTAAACCCCTGGTACCAGGTACCGAGCCTCCCCAGCATTTTCATCTTGACCCCACAGTTAGAGGTGGTGACGAACCCCTAACTGTGCCTGGTCTTCTCCGCGACCTTCTCAATCGCTCCGGGATGCCTCAACAACTTCTAAACGGTCTCGTTCTCTCCATGGGATCTGGCCGCTCCGTTGCTGCAGATTCACCGCTAGGGTGCTCACTCAATAATCTAAAGCCCCTCCACCTCACTCCAGACCTCAAACCTTTTCCCTACTGTAATGAGATCTGGCCACAATATCCCTTGGAAAATCAGTCTAAATGGCCTCCAAATGGCTCTTTATATCCTAAAATTCTCCGTGACTTATACAACTTCTGTGAGTGTACGGGCAAATGGAAAGAGATCCCATATATCCAGGCTTTCTCCTACCTCCGAACCAAGCTCTCTCTGTCTCCCCTGCAATCCTAAACACCTACTACTTGCCTTAAAGTCCACACCCCTAAGCTTTTTTCACTTTCCCAAATATCCTCAACTGCCTATAAAACTCCTAGACAATGCACCACCACGGGCTCTCTTGTCCCCTCCTGGCTCACACCAGGAGCTCTGTATGTCCTCTCACTGTATCATTACGTCTCAATCTGTACGTTTGTGTCTAAGTGTGTAAATGAAAAATATTTTTCTACCTCCGGATGGTATTAATAAAAATTGATTTAAAGACAAGCGCTTGTAAAAATTGGGCATTCTAAAATTTCCAGAAAATTCTTATAGAAGATATTAAGCATTAATGCTAATTTAAGTTGAACTGAATAGACATGTCCTTATGGTTATCAGCTGCCTAAGTTTACATAAAGTCATTTAAGCTGGTGGTATGTGTTAAATCCTTCAAAGACAAATGCTTAAAGTGAAGTGTAGCTTTGTCTAATGTGAGTAACTATTTAGGCAAGTGCCTTAAAACTTTTAACAGCTTCCCAAAATCAAATTCAAAAAGGTGCTTTTTACCTCTAGTTCACTCTGATGTTTTCCAGAGGGCCCCTGGAACATGTCAGAGGAATTTTTTCTCATTGGAGAAAATATTTGGCTAATTTGGCTTATTTATCTGATATATAATTACCTGGAAGGCACTATCACAGGGAATGATGCTAAACTTTGTTACTGAATGTTTTGTGTTTCAGAAATATCCAAGTTTCACTATGACAACTGTCTTACAGTAAGCTCTCATCAGATCTTTAACCATTGTCATTTGTAAGTCTTTTGTCATCTATACTCACTGTTTTATTACTCCTAAACTAGTAAAAAACTAGATTTCAGCAGAACAGGTATTAGTTACATTGGATTAAGTAAACTAAAGAAGATGATTTGGTGGCTTTTAGTTTCAAATGTTGTTGATAAAGTGTTTTAAGCTTTTTCTCTTAAGCTGGCAACAGTTTAGTAAATGACTGCCTTTATAAGCAGAATTGAAACTCTATCTTTCTCTCTACCTGATCCCTCCAGAATTTAAAAACTCTCAGTGACTATTTTTATATTTCATGGCAGTATGTTTATTTGCATAAGTTCAATAAGAATCTGCTTTCCTTGTAAGAGGACCAATTAAAAACACTGGTTACATTACCAAGCCTTTGACTGGAACCTCATACCTGAGAGACACGTGTGTAAACTCAGATATGAACAGACAGCTTTAAGGAACTAAGATTGACTTTATAAAGCCAACAAAGGCCCTTAGGAGAACTGGCCTGGTACCTTGCTTACAGAGATCCCAGCAGCCTTACCAGGTGAGTAAGGAAGGTCACTTCCTGGCAAGTGCAGGATACTCAGGAATGTCTTGGGAACCTCAAGAAGAGAGGAATTCACCCAAATCTACAGTTACTGCAGGCACAAGCTGATGGCAAGTCTGGCTTGGCTTTCTGGCCTCAAGAAGCCCTTAAAAGTTCAATCTGAAATTCCTTACAAAAAGTTCCAGCAAAGCATATTTAAAAGAGCCCATGTAACCAATTACTCTTCTTGCTGCACTTATGCAAATAATCAAGCCAACTGTTAATTATTTTCTTAATCTGGCTACTTCTAATAAAAGTGAGGGTGATTTCAGAGAAAAATATTGTTTCGATAATGCAATCTTATCTATACTAAATCCTAATACTAGTCATTGATATAAACTCGATCCAGAATTCTAGTTTCCCCATGATACCTAGCTATGATTCTCAATTAGACTCTTCATATTTCTAGTTCTCCTATTCAGCCATGCATTCTTAATCTCATCAAGTCTTCCTTCCAGAATGGAAAATCCAACTCCAGATGTTGCTACTAAATCTAATAACAATTTGTTCTATCTTGCCTAGAAGCCACAAAACTGCAAATAGTAATAGAAATGAAACCCAGAATAGAAGCGCCAACCTTCCGAGGCCCTCTCTACTGACCAGTGATGGAGACCTAGCTGCACCCTTTACTGCGCCCGCTTCTCAGCATGAAGCCAGAGCGGTCATCGCCCCTTTTCCCTAGCAGCAGCTAGAGTCTCTATCTGTAGAGGGGAGAATGAGACAGGGACTGTAGGCTTAGAATAAGGTGAGAACCTCTGGAGAAAGCAAGGCAGGATATTTGCAGTCAGAGCAATGTAACTACATGCAAGGAAACCCCACTACTAAAACTCTATGTTAAACATTGAGCTCTAGAATCATTCTTCAGTGAAATCAGTTAATGTTCCCCAGATAAAGAAGAGTAGCACATGTTTTGTTATGCTAATCATTTGTAATCATGTATAAGATTGACTTTAGCATACTAAAAGCCCAGGGCTATGTGCTGTCTTCCCTCCTTCAGATCTGACGAGGTAATTTTGCAAACTGAGCAACTAACTGCAGACCCAGCTGTAGATGGCATAGTAAAAGGCAGGATTCTTTAGCAAATAGACAATACCTGAGCCCACGTTGGGAGCTGAGCAGGCAGCCTTTTGATATGCTCTCAGACCAAGACGCAGGTATCCCAGAGAAAAGTCAAGGCAGGAAATTCCGTATGTTAATTTTTCATATACAGAGAACACTTAACAAGTCCTTCCCCAAGGCTTTAAAGATAGTCCCCACCTTTTTGGATTGGCTCTAACACAAGACCTCAAATCCCTTACTCTCTGGAGTTCCACCCTCCTTCAATATGTAGATGATCTTCTCCCGTGCAGTCCCTCCCTACTAACCTCTCAACAGGATACTATTCTCCTTTTAAAC